CCATGTCACCGATGAAGGAGCTGGCTTGGTTGAGGGCACACAGCTCAGAAGGGAAAGCCCCACATTCACAAGAGGACCCTGGCTCCTGATCTGCTCTCTCCCACACACTGTATCTCCAATATCTGCTGTAACCGATTCATCAGCCCTCTTTCCCCCTAGACCCGTGCCGGCAAACCGCCGCCTCGGCGCGAGCCACATGCGGCTCTTTGGCCCCTTGGTGTGGCTCTTTCACAAAATACCACGTGTGGGCGCGCACGTACAGTGTGAGTGAGACTTCGTGGCCCATGCGCAGAAGTCGGTATTTTGTGGAAGAGCCACACTCAAGGGGCCAAAGAGCCGCATGTGGCTCGCGAGCCGCGGTTTGCCGAGCCGCAGTTTGCGGGACCACTGCCCTAGACTTAATCAGTTCAGCTTCATTAATTCCCCTGCTTAGTCCCTAATTTTTATTCATTTAAGGGTTTTTGCACCTCTTCTCTAATCCCTGTTCAATTTCAGCACATGCCATTTGTTGAAAAGACTATTCTTTATCCACTGACTTGTCCTGGCACTCTTATTGAAAATCACCTGACCACAAGTGTAAGGATTTATTTCTGGACTCTCAATTAAAACCCACTGATTTATATAGTCAGTACCACACTATTTCAATACATTTTTATTGGTTTCAGAGAGGAAGGGAGAGGAAGGGAGAAAAAGAGAGAGATAGTAACATCTATAATGAGAGAAAATCATTGATCGGCTGCCTCCTGCATGCTCCCTATTGGGTCCAAAGCCTGGGCATGTTCCCTGACCCGAAATCGAACTGTGAACCCTGGTTCATAGTCTATGCTCAACCACTGAGCCACACTGGCTGGGCAACTTAAATCACATTATTTAAATTACTGTAGCTTCGTAGCCAGTTTTCAATTCAGGAAGTGTGAGCCCTTCAAGACTGTTTCGGCTATTTTAGGTCCCTTGCGTTTCCATATGAATTTTAGGACCCACTTGTAAATTTCTGCAGAAAACGCAGGTTTTGATAGGGATTGCAATGAATCTGTAGATCAATTTGGAGAGTATTGCCATCTTAACAATATTTAGTTTTCTGATCCATAAATATGAGATGTCTTTCCATCTACTTAGATTCTTTTTGTTGTTAATCTTCACCTGAGGATATTTTTTCCACTGATTTTTTTCTTTTGAGAGAGAGCAGAAGGGAGGGAGGAAGGGAGAGCAAGAGAGAAACAAGATGTGAGAGGCAATCGATTGGTTGCCTCCCACACCCACCCTAACTAGGGCGGGGATCCTGCAACCCAGGTACTTGTCCTTGACCAGGAATCAACCATTGAGCAAAACTGGCCAGGGCTATTTAAATCTTCTCTAATTTCTTTTTTTGAGTATATGCTTAAGTAACTTATTTTATTGAATTTATTGGGCTGGCATTGGTTAGTAAGACTATAATAGGCTTCAGGTGCACAATTCCGTAATACATCACCAGTACGCTGGATTTTTTGTAGCTGCCCTTTATTAAGCTACAGAAATTCCCTTCAATTCTATTTGCCATATTCATTCGAACGTGGAAGTCTCTGCTGCGGTCATTCGGGATCTGAGATGTCCGTGCCTTGTCTCTTAGCCACTCCAAATCCCGCCCATCTGCTGGAGCCAGCTCAGGGCTCCTCATTCCTGACCCTTCCCTGACAGCTCCAGTCCCAGAGTGCGCTCACCCTCCTTGGAGCCCCTTCAGTTCTCGCTGCGGCCCACAGCTGGCACTCACCATAGAGTGCTGAAGCTGTGCATGGCACGGCAGTAAATGCTGCATGTTAGGCAGAAACTGGAAGCCGGACAAGTGGAGTCCCAGTGAGGGGGAGAGCCTTGGGCAGGCAGCTAAGGGCAGGAAAACACCTGAGCCCAGTGGCTCAGGGCCAGGTGACTAGCTCCCCAGGAAGGCTGCAGCAGAACAGTGGATGGTTCAGAATGGACTTCACCACTGGAGCAGTGGCTCAGCAACTTACCAGCAAGTCACTCTCTGGCCTTCGTTTTCTCATCTTTGAAATGGGGACGAGAATGTCAATCTCAGAGTGCCTTGGTAAGTATTACATGAGTTCATCTATACAAAACACATTGTACTGAGTTCAATGGGTGGCAGCTGTAATCTATGCTACAGGATAGTCTATGAGAGAAGGGTTTGTGGTTAAAGCAATCTTGGGAATGCTCTATGCCAGTGGTTCTCAACCTTGGCTGCACATTAGAATCACCTAACAATGTTTTTAAAATGCTGACTTCTGGGCCTCATCCTCCGGAAATTCTGTTTCTTTGTTACTAATGTTGTGGCCCCACCCCATAACAAAGAAACAGAATTTCCGGAGGATGAGGCCCAGAAATCAGGATTTTAAAAAGAATCCCAGGCGATTCTAATGTGCAGACAAGGTTGAGAACCACTGCTCTATAGTCTATTCTTTTTGCAGATTCTCAGAGTAAATCAGCACAGTGAAGGCTCTCTGAAGTCCTATGTAAAGGATCCTATTTAATTTGTTTTGGCCCAGAATTTCCCAAACCTGTTCGCCAAAATGACCCTTTCTCCCCTTTTAACATCCACGTAGTTGTATTTAATTAATAAAGGAAGTCACGTTAAGTTGTTAAAAACGGGTCATGTTTTACTGTTTTGCTTTTCCCACAGGCATGTATAATTTAAAAGCAGCAGCCTAGGAAAAATGAAGGCTTCTAACCTAGAGAAAGAATAGAATGCTGTAAGAGCCCAAAGGAAATGAGAAATTTCAGACAGAAGGAGCAGATCAATAATGAGCTATTTTTGGCCATGGAGACATTTCTAAAATTGCAGCTTTTCGGAGTTAAAGTTCAGCTCCTTTAAATTCCCACCAGTGCCGAAATTCCCCTTCATCAGTCCCGGCCCCTGCTGGCACACACTCAGCCTCCCCAATTTTAGGCAGCTCTCGTAATTAGGAAATCCTCCCTCAGGTCGGGCTGAAATCCGCCTCCTGGGAACCTCCACCCAAGACCAGGTTAACGGAATTTTGTGTTTTAGTGAGAGCGGCCCATTTTGGAGACGGCAAATAAAAGGCGCAGAAATGCTGTGAATCATTACACAATGCAAAGCAACACACCCACTGACGGAGCTGCGAACTGAAAATGAGAATTATTGGAAACAGCACCTTTCACCTTCTGCATCCGTAAACAGGACAAATAACCAGAAGTTTAGCTGTACCGTAAGCAATGAATACTCTGTGGGTGGGCTTATATGGCAATTGGCAATTGCTGAGAAGAAAAGGGGGATACATGTTTTAAAAGACTTCTATATTCCCATCCTTTTTAATTTTTAAAATTTGTAAGGAGAGCCCTGACGGGTTTGGCTCAGTGGATAGAGCGTCGGCCTGCGGACTGAAGGGTCCCAGATTGGATTCCGGTCAAGGGCATGTACCTTGGTTGCGGGCATATCCCCAGTAGGGGGTGTGCAGGAGGCAGCTGATCGATGTTTCTCTCTCATCGATGTTTCTGACTCTCTATCCCTCTCCCTTCCTCTCTGTAGAAAATCAATAAAATATATTTAAAAAAAATTTGTAAGGAGACATTTTCGAAAACTCTTTATCCAGAGCTTATCCTTCCAGCTTCATTATAAAGAAAAGGGTCAATTAAATATAGCATTTGTCTCACAAATGTGGGTTTAACAAGAGTCAATTATAAGAACAGGTGATGTGACCTGTATTTTATAGCTGTCTGATCCAGTGTGGAATTTTCCAAGGCTCTGTAATACCTCAAACCTAAGGGAAACTTCACGGGGTGAAGGAACAGAACCCGAGTGAGAAGAGAACAAGCAGGGTCCAGGCACAGTTCAATAAGAGGTCGGGGACTTGGCAAAACCACGGAAAGGACCAGCTGCGTCTTCATAGGACCGTCCTCCCAAAGGAGAACTCCCTAGCCCAGCTCAGTGGTTGAGCATCAGGCTATGAACCAGGAGGTCACAGTTCGATCCCTGGTCAGGGCACATGCCCAGGTTGCAGGACCCCCTCAGTAGGGGGCGAGCAGGAGGCAACCCATCAATGATTCTCTCTCTTCACTGATGTTGCTCCTTCTCCCTCTCCCTTCCTCTCTGTAATCAATAAAACTATATTTAACACCCCCCCCCAAAAAAACACACCACAACAAAGGAGAACTTTCTAGACTCAGTCCCATGTTGCATTGCACAACTATTTGGTATCATTTTGGTATCTGTACCTCATTCTGACACTGAGAGGCAAAAAGGCTCACATGCCTAATTTACAACTGAGGGATTCGTCCTGGACAATCCTCAACAAGGATCCGAACTGACATCCCAACAGCCCGGGTGAGGTCAGTCTAGCTGTGTTCACCTTCCAGTAAAATCATTTCCTCCACTTAAAGTCAAGTTTTCTTACTACAGTCAATGGAAAGCAAACATGGCCTGTGCAGGAAGAGAGGCAGCACTGAGACCAACAAGCACTGTCGGTGAGCACGTGTGGGGCTTCAGCACAAGGCTTGCCTGCGGATTCTGTAATTTGTGCTCCACCGTGGTGTCTATTCAAATTTGCTCACTGACATACATCACAGAGGATGCTTCTGTCCTGTCTTTGAAATACAGTAAGAATATCACAGATTACAGCATCTATTCCTTCAACGTGCGCTAGTAGGACATCGTATTGTCGATAGGTTCTTAGAAACGGCAACTTTAAGTGAAACAACACATAATGAAACCAATTTTACTACAGGTGGCTACAAAAAAGAGTTAAGATCCATATTTCTGGTCACAAAAACATCACTAAATTCTTGTGTAATAAAGAGGCAATATGTTAATTAGACTGGACGGCAGACTGACCTTCTGGAACGACCTTCCTGAATGACCAGTGGGCAGGGCTGCGAGGGCTGAGGCAGCTGGGGCCGCAAGGGCTCAGCCCCTTGCATGAATTTCGTGCATTGGGCCTCTAGTTTCTAAATAAAGTCCCCAAACACTTCTAATATTAAACATTAAAATAAATGTGAGTTATACATACATTTAAAAAAGACTAATAAAAACGAGTAAAATCATTCTTTTCCAACCCATTTACTCTATTTCATGGTGACAGGTGGCTGGAGCCTATCCCTGCAGCTCAGGGCACAAAGCAGGACCCAACCCTTCCTGGAAGGGCCACTCACACTCACACCCACACCCACACTCCACCCACATCCACACTCAGCCTGGGACAATGTAGACACACCAGCTCAACTCACGTGCACATCTTTGGGATGGGGCTTAGAAACCAGAGAAAATCCACACAGACTTGGGGAGAAGGTGCAAACTCCACGCAGGCAGTGGCCTGGCGGAGAATCACATTTTTCTCATCAATGTTATAATGAAACGATGTAGAAGGAAACGTTAGTCAAGGTCCAGCTGAACTACATCAGTGCCAGGCATTCATAGGAAACACCCTTTGAGCACCTAAGATGAGGCCAAATAAAACCTGGTCCCTGACTTCCTGGACACTAGCCGTCGAGTGAGAGAGACAGCCAAGCAAATCAATGACTTCCATACAAAGTGACAAGTGCCAGCTGGAGGCAGGCACCTGGTGCCAGTGGAAGGCAGGCACGTCTCGGAGGGACTGACTTCTAAGCTGTCAGCAGCAACAGCTCTGACTCCGACTCCAATTCCCAGCACTCAGGTGAGAACGGACCTTCTGACCCTGCTATCACGGCCAGATTTAGCGCCTGTGTTTGTTCTGAGAGAGACGGGGAGAGGCAGAGAAGAACACAGAAAACAAAGAACAGAATTTGAAAGCGCATCGCACGCAGACAGGTTCTGGAAGTTGCTAGAGATGGCCAGGGGTAGGAAGGGCGACCACCCTGTGCCTGGGCAGCCCACATCCTCGATCTGGGTGCAAAATCTAATCTAGGACCCACCTTTCTCCTTGCAGAACAATGAGACATAGAAAGGAGGTCTTCCTCCATCCAAGGACACTTGTGGAGCCAAGCCCATTATAGGCTGCCTGCCACGACCAGCGAGGGCGGCCAGAGGAAGGCGCGGAGCCCAGGGCTCTCCCAGGGGGCGAGGCCACACTCCTCTACCAGCTCCCCAAGGCGACTCCTCCACAGGGCACACCAAGCACCGCAAGTCTCCCACCTTCCCGGTGGCGATGGAACACATCCTGTGGGATCCACTCCCCACCCGGGCCCCACAGGAGATCTACACACAGGAAAGGTGAGTCGTTACCTTAGGCTGTCCTCCAGGGTCTCCTCATCCGAAGAGAAGGTGCCATTGCTGACGCTCTGGGGAGCGTGGCTCTTCCTTCCTGCCTCCGCCTCCTGGGAAATCGAAGTGTCTTTCTTTTTCCTTTTGCCAAACAACTTCTTAAAAGGCTGGAATTTGCCTCCCTTCTTCTTGTCTGCGGATTACAGGATAAACACTCGCTGCGGTTTGACAGGGCTGCACCCCGGAGCCTCAGAGCAAATTACAGCTGAGCGGCCTCGGCCCAGGGAGCTGGGGCAAAGGGCAGCCATCACAGGAAAGGGGCGGCCAAGCCCTGTGCCAGGAATGCCAGGGCCTGCCCTGTCCGCGCACAGTCAGGCGGAGACAAGCAGGAGCGCAGTGCGCGTCTGCCTCAGGCTCCCAGGGAGCACCTGGGACAACACGAAGGGGTTCTAAGCCTCCAGGCGCAGCACCCCTGGCACAGGCCACACCACGGTGGTGTCTGCTTTCTTAAACAAAGCAGGTGGCCCGTGCCCTTCTCCACGGGAGAAGCTGAGATAACGCATAAGCCACACGGCTGTTTAAGAAAAAGTGTGTGTGTGTATCATCTCTTCTGAGAAGCACTCGTTCTGCCTTCGTACACAGAAGAAAACCGCCAACTCTTGGTATAAGCGTTGCCCCCTATCCCCTCCATCCCCATGTAGTTCTAGTTTATCTCTCTTGTCTCCTTTTAAAACTACTGCGAAGAGCCCCACAGGAATCATTATGAACGTTTTTCCATTCATTGCTTCATCCAGGCACAACCCAGGCTCACAGCCAGCATTGCCTGCAGGTATTGTAGGTAATACCTTCCAGTTCAGTTTCAGATACAAATTCCTCACATCACTCCACTCCCACCTCGGCAAAGGAAGTATAAATCACCCCATGCCAGAGCATCTTCTCAGATCTTCCCTTTAAGAAGTTTAAAGAAAAGAAAAACAAAAAAAAGAAGTTTAAAGAACATGTATCCAGTGATCAGGCACTCTTTTTCCTAAATTATTTAACCCTTACTATGCATCACTGCTCTAAGAACTTTACAAATATGAACTCGGTCCTCACCACAATTCTGTAAGGTAGGTAGCATCGACATCCCCATTTTACAGATGAGAAGCCTGAGGTACAGAGAGATGAGCTAACTTGTCTATGTCATGGGAAACATATCTTTGAAGCTGGAGTCAGGAGCTCTGAGGGAAAAGGAAAGTTGAAACATTTCTATACACAACGTGTATAGAAAAACATCGGTATAAAACACAAAGGTATAGGGCCCCCAAGTTAGTATCAGAGCCCCCAGAACTTTGCTCAACAGAGTCTACAGAGAGATCTGGGTATAAAAATGAGGTTACTGATGTTCAAAGTAGTTGCCTCATCTCCTCTGGTGATCTTCAGCTCTGGCTTTTCTGAGAGAAAATCTGAAGGGTGGAAGAAGTGGTTTAAATCACTTTGCCCTGAGCAGTGGCATCAGACACTGAGGAAGCAGATACAATAATCACCAATTACAAAAAGACATATACTGGGATCCTTACTACAGATGCAAACAGACCTTCGAGCGTCAGCGGTCCCTGAAACAACACTGTATCATTTCACATTGAAATGGAAGGCAGATTTCTAACATACGAGATGCCTTCCACACCCAAGGCTTTGTGCTAGGCATGTAGTCCTCAAAAAAGTTAAAATTTCACTCTGTACTATTATTAAAAAGACGATAAAGTGTGCAATACAATTGGGACAATATTGGTAAAAAATAATTAGAAGGTTTGATTTCAGAATGTTTGTATGCTTTCAGTGGTCACTTATTCAGGAGTATAGGCCAGAGATTTTCATGACATCTACTTTTGGTATCCATGAGCAAAATCTCCAGTGGATAATTTTTAAAAATTACCACCTGAGGATTTCGAAGACCAGCAAAGAAATTAGGCAAGTGTTAAAAAAATTGGCCTTATATAAAATGAATCAATTAAATATCTTAAATTTTAAAAAATTCTATAAGGCACTACAGGTATCATTACATTATTATATAATTGGTCTTTGGCACTGACTGATAAGTCAACATTTTCTTTTTGACTATCCAAGGCTCAAAATATGTAAATGACACCATTATTGTGAATGGTCACCATGATAAATGGTCAAACAGCCACTTATGCTAATTTCACTTATTTCTGAGATAAATTCTTCCTTCTTCCCTTTTTATCAATTGCCTTTTTATCACTGCAGAAATATCTAACCTTAAATTGTCTAACCAGGAATATTCTCAAAGACCATTGCAAAAACCTAAAAACATCAGTTATGAATCATTCCTCCCAGCCTGGGCCCACTGATCCAGCTTTTAAGTTAACTAGAGAATTTTTTATTATGTCAGAATTTATTGATAAAAAAAAAGATCATCATTTGCTCTAAAGTCAAGGTGGATGTGGTGGCGTTCAGTTGAGCTGGAACCAAGGGAGTGAACGATCATCAGAGACAAATTATAGTTTCTTGAACAGGTTACTTGTGTATTTAACTAACGGGTGACTTGGTCAGTCGAGAAGGCGGATGGGGTCCTTTGTGTTGCCTCAATGTCCAGAACGGTGGCAGCCACCATATAAAATATTTGTTGCATTGGTCACATTGCTGGGGGAGACAGAGTGAACAGAACCTGGAAAGAGCTGAATACAAACACAAGGATGGGCCAGAAACAACAGCCTTGGGGAGATGCCAGGATGAGGAGCCTCAGCCCGGAGAACCTGCTGGGCTGCAAGCAAGCAGAGAGTGGCCTCCCTCAGGGGGCCCCGTCTGCACAGCTGGCCCGTTGAGGACTGTTTGTGAACCAAGCACTCCAGCACTTTGTGCTGCACTTTAGATGGGCAATGACTTGGCACGAGTACACACGTATTATCCTGGAAGACGTGTCAAAGTCCAAATGTCAGAGAGCACACAGCTCAGAAGTACTCGGGAAAGGCTGTTTCAGCAATCCCTTGGCTATTATCAGGAAGGTAAGAGAACAATAAAACCTACCTGAACTACCCATCCGACAACCACTCCTTCCTGCCACGAGGAAAAGAGTGTTTAAGTCCTAAGAATGCCATTCTCTCTTGGGAGGAGGGGTCAGAACACGGAAGCTTACAATCTGCTCCAAAGACTTAGTGTTTGGTCACATCTCGGTTATAAAAAGTAATTTCCACCGTCCTCATTTGCAAAATTAGTAACATACTTTCTGTCAAGATATCTTTACATTTTAAATACAATTTAAATGTGTATTTTAAATGATATTTTTACTAATGACTGTGGCAATTAATGAATGTTCCAGGGCTAACTTTATGAAAAGTCCCAGTAACTACATTTAGGCCCACCTTACCTTCAGACAGCAAACTGTGATTAAGCAACACCAATAGGGAATGAACCTATAAATCAGAGGAGGAATTATACTCTTATTGAATTGATCCCCCAGTTTTATTCTCAAAGTTCAGTGTAAGATTTCTCACATCCAAAAACAAGTACCTAATTTTGTTGTTGTTGTTAATACTCACCCTAGGATATTTTTTTCCATTGCTTTTAAGAGAGAGTGTGGAATGGAGGGAGGGAGGAAGAGAGAGTGAAAGAGAGAGAAACATCAATGTGAGAGAGACACATCAATTGGTTGCCTCCCACATACGCCCCGACTGGGTGTGGGTAGCAAACCCACAATGCAGGTACATGCCCTTGACTGGGAATCAAACCCTTGACCCTTCAGATGCAAACAGACACAATAATGGTGTCATTTAACACTCGCCTAATGTTCTTTGAGAGGGCCAGTGCTCTAACCACTTAGCACACGGGCCAGGACAACAAGTACCTACATTTTATGAAACATTTGCAATTCTATGCCACAACCACCATTATGAAAACCTGGGATGAGCCTATAAATATGCATTAAATGAACTATTTTAGGATCGATTTATGATTTGGGGGCTGTATTAACAGTCTGTCTCCACAGAATCAACTGGCTAAGTGCATGGTCATCAGCAGCAGCTATTGACAGATGACACCGACTGTTACCATGAATATTCTTTGTACAGATGGGGCCTAAAAGATCAAAGCAATTTTAACAAGGTAGTAAGGCAGAGCACTTCTGCAATGCTGATGTGAAATATTCCCACAGGCAAATGCCATAGAGCAGGAGAACAGTTTAGCAATGTTTTCTCCAACAGAGTATTTAAGATGGCATTTTAGAATTTTACACAAATTTAATTTGGTTGGGTGGTTGGGGTAGTGGGGAGAAGGAGAGAGGGAGAAGGAAGAAATATTCCCTCTACTAAATTGTGTCTTTTTTAAAATTGGCTACAACTCTAGTTAAGGGTTATGTACATGGGCCCCAGAGATAAGAAGAGTTGGCTCAAATCCCGATTCCATTTCTTACTAGCTATGAAACATCTGCTTGCCAGCCTCTCTGGAAATGTACCATCTTAAGATGTAAGACTGAATTTATTGGGGAAAAGACAGTGGGTGCCACATTGTCTTAATATCTCACCATTTTTGTGTTGTCATTTTTCACATGAAAGAATGTACATATGCATATACACTATCCTCAGGGATCATGGTAATTTTCATTCTTTTTAAGTACTGAATTAATTTATTGTCATCATCCAACAATTATATTAGGGATTTTTTTCCATTAAAAAAAGTGCTCATTATCCATTACTTCATAGATATAATTATGTACTGGCTGCATCATCATAATTGTTAGTTTACATAGACGTTTCTAAAAATTAAAAATCACTGGGCAAGTCGAGCAAATCTGATTCATTTTCCATTTGTCATAAGGATGCAATTCTTACATTTCATTTCTAAACCTAAAATAATAGAAGCATACAATTTCTCTGCATTGGATTATTCATATGGTACGCTTTCAAATGAGAAACAGAATTTCCTATCATAGTTCACTTGGAGATCATAAATGTTTTCGTCTGGGGCTTCTCAGACTGGGCTCTGTGTGTCGGTACCAGGTTCTTATTCAAAGACCAGTTCATTTGAGAACCCGAGTAAAATAAAGTTAAATATGTTTCTTTACCAGGGACCTTCCAGGGTCTTTAATATCCTATATCATGATTGCTCTCCAAAGGAGCAGAGAATATGCAGTGCTTCCCAAAACTTGTTGGCTATGGAGACTTGGCTGTTTAGACATTCATCATGGCTAGTGTTCTTCTGAACATTCTCTGGGAAACACTTGCCTTCCATATTTCTTTCCAACAATTTTTAGTTTCTTTAGGTACCATATATTTCATGCACATACCTCCCCCAAACTCCAGAGCACCCTGCTCAGGAGACCTGAGTGAGCTGACTGACACACATTTTGGTTAAATAAACCTACTGTTTAGGGCCAAGTTCTGATTTCAAACATGTATACTTAACACATGTGAATAGCATATATTAAGACACAGAACATAGCCAACTGCCTGAACCATATAGTTTTACTATGTAAGCCGGGGAACTTCAGAACCTTTTCTTAGCTCTGGAACACTGGATACTTTGGAGAAGGAACTATCTAGTTAAAAAAGATTACTTACTGAAGTACACGGTGATACACAAATACTTGGTGGCTATCACATTCTTACTGGACTCCACAATCCTGGAACATTTCAATAAAGAGCAGGAGTTGGCAGCATGGCCGATGGGCTGTGCTCCCTGGGACGATGCAATGACAAGACTGCGATTCTCCTTCCGGAGAGGAGGGAAGGGGGGCCATGGCCTCCTGTCAGGTTACGTGGGTGAAGAAGGAACAGTTTGCTCCTTTACTGGGGAAGCACGGAGGGAGGAAGATATTTGCTGCTGTGCTATTTCAGACAATGAAGAGACAGGATCAATAATGTTCGTTCGTTCGTTCTCTCTCTCTCTCTCTCTCTCTCTCTCTCTCTCCTCTCTCTCTCTCATCTCAGAAATCTGCAATTTGGCCAGGGCTTGTCAGGGAAAGCTTGTTTCTGCTCTAGCACATCAGCTGAGGTGGCTTGACTGAGGGCAAAAGGACTCATTTCCAAGATGGTGCAATCAACTGGTTGGTATTGGCTGTCAGTTGGGAGCTCAGATGGAGTCGAAGGCTAGGAACCCTGGGTTTCTCCCTGCACGGATCTCTCCATGTGGCCTGGGCTTCCTCATGGCATGATACTTGGATTCCAGAGGCAAGAACAGAGTTCTAGCTAGGCATAAGCTATACTGTCTTTATGACCTGCCTCAAAAGTCTCATAGTTGTCCATCTTTTTTTTATGTTGTTTATCCTAACCTGAGGATATTTTCCCACTGAATTAATACTCTTTTAGAAGAGGGCAGGGGCCCTGGAACTAACGGCAAGAGGCCCAGGGTGGTAGTGGCTGTAGCTTTCACCAGTGGAGAACGTGGTAACCAGCCCATATCCAAACCCCAGGTCCTGGGAACTTGGGTGGATGGGCTACAGCATATGTTGGAGACTTCTAAGGAAGGCATAGAGCTTGGATTTGTGTTGTTTCCTCATCCAGAAACGTCATTTTCACTTTTTTTCCAATGGGATAAAACCCTATTCAAAGACCTAGGTCCTCGAGGCTGTTCCCAAGCCCCCCAAGCCCAGTGATAACTAATCACACCTCCCTCTGGCTTCCGTGCACTTTGCTCATACGTCTGCTGTGCCACACCGTGTGTCAGGAGCTGACCTGTGCCCCCCAACATTCTTACGTTGAAGTCCTAACCCCCAAGCACCTCAGCATGTGACTATTTGGAGAAAGGGTCTTTAAAGAGAGAATGATGGTAAAATGAGGTCGTTAGGTGAGCCCTCATCCAATATGACTGGTGTCCTTGTAAGAAGAGATTAGGACACAGACACAGACAGGGGCAGGACCATGTGTGGCACAGGGAGAAGATGGCCATCTACAATCCAAGGGAAGAGGCCTCAGAAGACGCTGATGACACCTTGATCTTGGACTTCTAGGTCCCAGAATAATGAGAAAATCCTTGTGTTGTGTAAGCCGCCCTGTCTGTGGTACTTTGTTATGTAGCCCCAGCAAACTAATATGATTTTGTGACTTTACACTTTTAAACATGTTCTTCTTCTACCTAGAATGCCTTTCTCCATTGGCCTAGAGAACTCCTAACGATCTCCCCAAACACATCCTTGGTGTCACATTCTCTTGAAAGCCATCCCTGAGCTCTCCAGCCCGAGAGAATGATACCTCCTCAGTTCTCTGTGCATGGAACAGACGTCTATTACAATACCACAAAGCGTGCCACAGCCCTTCGCCGGCAAGTTCCCTGGGTGCAGGGCCTGAGCCTTGTTTATTCTGCATCCACAGCACCCATCCTGATGCCTGGCACAACGCAGCACACATCAATATGGATCTACTGTTCACTACCCCCTCAGGGCCAGATGTGTTTAGAAATCAGAAATGTTCAGATTGTAAAAAGGTATATTTAGACCCCAGTGGAGTCTATGACAGCACTTTATAACAAATGCAATATTTCTGGAACACATCTACATTCACCTTGGGTTTTGCTACCAAATGAATTTGTGCCTAACTTACAAAGAACTCTGGGGATGGTGATATCTTTACGTAGTTCAGACAGTCCTGCAATCACACTTGCTTTGAAAATGCAAATTTGTTCCAATGTGATTGATCTATCTTATCCCTGAGAAACACTAGGTGAATGCAGAATCCTGCACCCAGCTGAAATGAGGTGTGCAGGAATACACATTCACACACACACCCCTCAAATATTTACCCATTATCCCAGATTGCCGCCCGTGTCATACGTACCTACACATGTGGTGTTACAGTTTTCTATCCAATTTTGGATAACCCTCCTCCCCCACCTCACAATAACTCACAGCTGTCGCCTTCCAACCATTCCCCAGGCCACAAGCAAACTTCAGGTCTTTTGCAAGGTAAAATGCTATACTTATTGCAGTATTATGAATTTCATTACCATTTATGTAAATATAAAGAAAAAACTGCTGTATTTTTAAAGTTAGGTTGCTATCCTTTTAAAATGTCACAGATACATTTAAAAAATGTTTTCATTGATTTTAGAGAAAGAGGAAGGAAGAGAGGGAGAGAAAGAGAAACAATGATGTGAGAAACATTGATTGGTTGTCTCTTGGTACACACCCCAACCCGTGATCGAACCCACAACCTGGGTATGTGCCCTGATCGGAAATCCAACTAATGACCTTTTGATGCATGGGACAATGCTCAACTAACTGAGCCACACTGGTTAAGGCAGTCACTGATAAATGTTTTTGTGTTGTGTTACTACCATTGGCTATTGGTTCCATTGTTCCATTTTGCGGTTTTCCATAACATGCTGATGTTTAACAACGCATATGTTATGTTATGGCAGAATTGATAAACAGAACCTACTGGAATATGTTTATACTTACCTAGGTCTACGCAAGGACCCGCCAATTAAAATTACTTGCCTGTTTTTTAGGCCCCCTATTTCTTGAAACCACATCAATTTTTAATTTTTCTAGTTTTTCCCACTGGTCTGTCTCAGAACCCCTTTTATATGTTTCACAGCAATTCAAAAGAAATAGTATTTAGAAATAGCAACAGAGGCAGATCCGATTTTTAATGTGAAGTCTTAGTGTTTGGCCACATTGCTCCCACGTACTAGAAGATGTGTGGGTGCTGATTCTATTCACTGCCAATTTCTGCCACTTGAGTTTCAGAGCCACTCCCATTTCTAGCCCTTGATTCCTGGAACCACTGGCTGGGAATCAATGCCAACTCTGAGTGGAAAATAATGGTTGGGGAGCTGCCTGCTACCTTGACCTGCATAGTTCCTTAGTGCGGTAGCAAACTACCTCAACAAAGAGTACCTCCGCATGAGGGCTGAACACATTAGATTCATTTCATCTCAACACACTGAACTCCCAACACCTGTAGGTTTGGTGTGGCTGATGGCACTGATAGATAAAACAAAGCTTTAGGGACATTGAGGCTATACTGATCAGGGTTTAATCAGAGAAGCAGAACTAGTAGGAGATGTGTAGGTGTGTGTAAGATATATTAGGAAATTAATTGCAAGGAGTTGGTTAAGCAAGGTGGGGACTGGCCAAGCAAGTTTGAAATCCATAGGGCGAGTCATCGGAAAGGGCAGGCTGAAATTCATAGGCACAGGTTGAAGCTGCTGTTCCCAAGTGGAATTTCTTCTTTTAGGGAAGCCTCAGCTCTGTTTTTAAGGCCTTTAAATTTACTGAATCAGCCCCACCTAGATTATTTTGAAAAATCTCCCTTACTTAAACCAACTAATATGGACTTTAATTACATCTACAAAATGCCTTCCAAGCAACAGCTTAAGTAAACAATATTTGTGTTTGATTTTAAAAACTGGGGAGCCCTGGCTGGGTGGCTCAGTTGGTTGGAGCATTGCCCCATACATTGATATCTCTCTCTCTCTCTCTCTCTCTCTCTCTCTCTCTCTCTCTCTCACCAATAAACATATCTTCAGGTGAGGATTAAAAAACTAACAAAACTAGGGCTACAGCCCAGCCAAACTGACCCATCATAATGACCATACCACTCCATCCTTTGTCCACTTGGCACCCATACATATCTCCTTAAACCATACTTAGTCATAGCAAAATAAAGAAGAAATACCCTTAACTATTATATTCCTTGTTTCTACAGCTGGTCATGCGGTCATAGCTGGTCTTAATAGCCATCTTCTCCCTCTACCTATTCCACATTCCTTTTGCCCTCAGCAAGGACCTCAGCTGGTTGTGGATTCCTGAAGAACCTGGCCACTAGCTGTCCTGAATTGGGTTGTCACAGCTTTTGATTACCTCACAGAACGTGGGAGCACTAGAGATGCCCTAAGGGATCTCCTGTTTCCAGACACACTCTTTCTGACATCCGCTGTGTGGGAGCAGCCCGACTTTCCCTTGGTAGTCAGGTCAGTCACTCTGGTGAGTACCATAACCCTCCTTGCCTGTTGACTGACAGGCATGGAGAGCTAAAAGCGGCTTGCTGGCTGCCTCAACTACCAGTTCAATGGGATGAATCACTGTTGTGCCTCCTGGTGAAAAAATTCTTCCCATTGGAACTAAGAACCTAGACAAGCAGAACCTAAAGTCAAGGGGATGGGAAGCAAATGTGTTCCCAGGGAGTCACTAAGGTTAATTAATAGTGAATGGAGCCACTCCCATTTCTACCCCTTGATTCCTGGACCCATGAAGCCAGGTGATGAGAGAAACAGCACCATAGCTTGGATACTGACTCCTAGAGGGCACAGTCCCAGCCCGACAAAATAGCCAGCACCGTCACTGAGTCTTCTAAAGGCCATTCCACTATTTTGTGAAGCCAGCAGCTCCAGGATGATGGCGAGTGTGGTGAGACCAGTGAATTCCATGAGCATGGCCTATCAACTTCCTTGACCAGAAGTGATGTCTGTGTGAAATACCATTACAGTGGATAAGGTATCCCATAAGTCCATGGATGACAGTTTTGGCAGAAGCACTGCATATAGAAAAGGTAAATCCATATCCAGAGTAAGTATCTATTTTAGTAAGAACAAAGCCCTGCTCCTTTCACGATGGGAGTGGTCCAATGTAATCAGTAGGTAGCTGATCACCCCAGGGGATGATGCTATATGGAGGACTCAGTGTTGGTCTCTGTTGGCCTTGGCGAGTGGGTCAACATTGCTGAGCTCATGAAAAAATTCTATCCCTCCACCAGAGCCATTTTTCATTGGGCCATTGACAAGTGGCTGGGTAAAGAGGCTGCCAAGCAGGCACAGAATGGGTCCTCCTGTGGACTTATTAAAATCCTCCTGAAATCCTACTTTGGTGATCATTCACATGAGACACAAATATCTTTAAATCCTTTGTCCATTCAAAAAGGTCTATCCACACACCTCTTCCCCAGACCCCTCTGTCAACAGATTTTCTAATCATATTCCTTCCAAGTCCATGACCATCTGCCAAACCACTGGCCACTACCTATGAATTGTTACAGACTTGTACCTCTGGCTATTTCTCCTTGTATGCAAAATGAACAATCAGATGTACTGATTGATGTTCTGGCCACTGGGAGAATTTCCCATCACCACTGTCCTTCAGCGATATCCCAGAATGGGGCTAAAGCATTACAGCTTTCAAGTGGTGCCTGAATATTATGCAAAACCATCCATAAACCAGACCTGAGCTTGCTCTTCCTCAATCAACTAGTCACAGGGAATTCTCCACGAGGTCACAGGTGCAGACTGGGAGAGAAGGGAGTGCAGCAGGAGTGGGGATGATGGGTATTCATGCAACTTAACCTGTGCCTTCAGGGCCTGCTCAAACCTGATCTCATATATATCATTTCTTTCTTTTTTAATGTCGTAAGTTTCACTTAAAAAACTTCAGTGTACAATACAGAATGAAAATGCAGTAAACTGGTCATAGTTCAAATAAAAAAGACTTGGGATTATAGCTGATTCCAGGGTAGTAGTTTCCTAGGGCTCCTGTTAAAAACTACCATAAACTGGGTGGCTTTAAACAACAGAAGTGTATTCTCTCACAGGTCTGGAGTCTAGAAGTCCAAAGTCAAGGTGTCAGCAGGGCCGAAGTCACTCTGAAGGCTGAAGGAGGATCTCCCTGGCCTCTTGTGATTTCTGGTGTTCATTGTATACCACTTCCTTTTGATAAGGGAGTGCTGCTAAGCACACCCAGCTTTATGGCTTGGTGGGTCAGACAACACCCAGTTCATGATGGGCAGCTCAGGTCATGTGGTAACTTGGTGGCCCATGGGTAAGCCGTCAGTTTCTACTAAAACCCATTAGCAAGACAAAAGTTGTTTCTCAAAAAGTGAGTAGTTATCTGCAAAGGATGGTAGGGTTTTTCCCCAAAACTGAAAGGGCCAGTGCTATGATTAACAGATAGGGACCTGCCAAAGGCTCCCCATAGCATCCCTCTCTGTCAGTGACACCTCAAGCACCATTGGATCTGCTGGATCATATGGCCCAAATGGCAGAGCAGTTTGCTCAGCAGCCTGGACCTATGGCAGAACCTTCTCTTACTCTGGACACTATTTCTTAACAACAGTGAGAAATGCTCTTCATTTTAACTGGTCATGTGAAGGTGGGGAAACACGCCCCAGAATCTTACAGATCTGTGTTTCTTTAGTCACCCCTGCCACTTTCTAGCTTCTTGGGACCTCAGTTTCCGCACCTGTAAAATAGGGCGACTAAAGTTCATACTATCAATAGTCCCTACCTGGATTCTTCTTCCACCTAATAATCCTACAACTTCATATCCTGTCTATTAAACTCAGCCCATCTATGGCGAAGCAGTGTTTTTCTGTGCAGCACAGATCAGCGCTACCTTTGCAAGAGACCTGTTCCCATTCTAAAGTTCTATGAACTGTTTCTTTAAAAAGCTAGGCAGAAAAAAAAAAAAAGCTAGGCAAGTTTTCAACAACAATCTGTTACAGGGTGTCCCCTCCCCCCAAAAAATGTACACACACTTTGAATAATTATTAATTCCAATGGGTTAAATCTGAAAAGAAAGAAACATCAATTGAGCTATCAGTTATTAAGTGTGTATACTACATTTTTTGGGATACCCTGTATTTTGGCTCATAAAACTTATTACTCTTTTCATAAATTATCTATTAATTATATCCATTATGCTTTCTCCATTCCTGTTTGGCCTCCAAATTATGCTGGTTTTGTTACCATCATACTTATTTAGCAAAGGTAAGGACCTTCAGGGCTTGGGAAAGGCAGTAACGTAGTCTGCAAGTCTGTAAAAGAGAGCCAAGCCATTCCATCTCTTCATGTCAAGATCCAGGTCCCTATGCCTAGGAATGACAATGCTGATGGAGAAGGTCCTAGAACTGAATCCCCAAACCCCACCTCCTCACTGCCAGCCTTGGGTCTGACTCAGTGATTTTTTGAGAAAGGTGACTAACGTGTGAGCCTCAAATCTGGGCAATACATGTGGACCTGCCTTCAGACACACTTCTAGGATATCAGTGACATTAGCCACTCAGGGTTCCTTTTAAGTTCTGAGGGACAAAGTCAGATGGCCTCAGACAGCCTCCAACTTATGGGCCAATGATGCACATGAAGACAGCTTTAGTTGCTGATCAATTCTGCCCCAGTAGATTCAGATTTGCTAGCCCTGCATTTTCCTGTCTGCTTTTCTTGGTGTCTTGTATATCCAGGAATGTACGCCCTACCTGGATTCTTCTTCCACCTAATAATCCTACAACTTCATATCCTGTCTATTAAACTCAGCCCATCTATGGCGAAGCAGTGTTTTTCTGTGCAGCACAGATCAGCGCTACCTTTGCAAGAGCCCTGTTTCCATAGTGCTCAGCGTAGATCTGGGACTATGACGAATGAACAAACATTTACTGCAGTCCTACTGTGCGTAGAGCACTGAACTAGCACTGGTATATCACAGGAATTATTGAGATCCTGATGCCAGCTAAGAGGAAGAATTAGTAAATTTAGTACAAAATAAATTAATAACTTGGCTTTCAAATTCACAAAGTTTTCAGGACTCCGGCCTCCTATGAGAAAAAGTGGAGTTTTGCTAGGTGAAAAAAGCCCTGGTAGCAGCTGACAGGGCTCTCTCTACTTGAAGGTCTAAGGGCTTAGGGGTAGGGGTGAAGGTCATGATGGTGTATGTGTGTATGTGGGTGGAGGTGAGCTAGAAAGATGGTATAAAGTCTTCCCTCAAGGGCATGTGAAGCCCAGGGCAGGTTTGGACTAAAGGCAATCCTAAGATCAGTGCTCTCCAAATACCGTGCGACAGTCCATTTAGCGCACCCTGCAATCAATGTAGTGGCCCATGACCAAGAGTCCTTGAAAACAAAGTAGAAAAGAATAGAGTGGAATACAAAATCGAGTACTATTTCATGAAATTTTTGTTTCTAGCCACTCAGGTTTTTAGTTTATATGTGTGTTTGTGTGTGTGTATACACAACTTCATACACACATATGTTCCAATCTAAAACATTTCTTGCTCTAGATCCAAGACACAAAATATTTGAGAAATGCCAATCAAGGAAAATTACCACATTTCCCAGTAAGTTGGGCATTTCGATGCAAGAGTCAACAACTGTTTATCAACACAAGCCATTGCATGTGTGGCAGTCGCTTTGGCTTAATGAAGATGAGAAAGCACTGCATGCAAAAACAAGCTGAGAGCTGCCAAAGCCATTAACTAAGCTCCCAGACACTGCCAAAGCCAGAGCCAATGTTCGTGCTGCTGAAGTCTCTATTTTGGCTTTGATCATTTGGCTTCTCAAGTACGGAAACTCTATCTTCAGAGAGCAACAAAATCTTCCATTTCCTAATGGAAGAAGGAAGAAAGCGCTATTAAACTCAAGACATTGTGGCTGATGAGCTTGGTGTTGAAGTATAACTTAAAAACTCATAATTTGTGGCATAACCTTAAAAAAGGATTATGCTTTACCTTTTGTATATACTCTACTTTCAATAAAAAATGCCTTCACTATAAAATTTCATGCAGCCCATCAAATCTGCACGCACCAGATTCATTTCTGCTGAATTGTATAACTTGATATTTTTCAAGCGCCTTCCCTAGGACAATTTCAAAGACATGGGAGTGGCGGTGAAGTCACTACTTGCTTTCTGCATCAGACTAGAGAAGCTAACTTAGCTGAACAAGGCCAGATGCTGAGTGAAGAAACCAGGTCTCTGAACCCATTTCCAGCCACCTAACAAGACAGGTGCTCGGATCCAAAGGCAGGCAGCTGAGGAACACTCTATTCCTCTCCCTCTGAGTCTCAGGGATTCCTCCCCTAGACCAGTGGTCGGCAAACTGCGGCCCCTTGAGTGTGGCTCTTCCACAAAATACCACATACGGGCATGCACGTTGTGGAAGAGCCGGTATTTTGTGGAAGAGCCACACTCAAGGGGCCAAAGAGCCTCATGTGGCTCGCGAGCTATGTTTGCCGAGCCGCAGTTTGCTGACCACTGCCCTAGGGTATCAGGCAAAAGACTGGAAAAGATCGTTCTGGAACCGTTAAGTGGAAGTGCTGTATAATGCTCCTTCACACATCGTGTGGAAAATTTTGGAATTTGTCGTTAACCTCCAAAACTCACAGAATGAAGACATGAGTAGATTCAAGAAAACTTTAGACCTATTAATTAATGATAAATTCCAAATGCTTACAGAGGACACAAAGATATTTCGTAATATGTTTGTAATTAAATAAAGTTGATAGCAGAGGGGGAAAATACTATTTTTCCCCATAAATAGTAATGCTAGCAAACTTTATTAAACTTTGGTATGTGCTAGGCATGAAGTTTTACATGCAATATCTCACAATCACTCTGTTAAGTTCTTTCCCACGTTTTAGAGATAAGGAAACGGAGGCTCAGAGAGGTGAAATTTAGTGCCTCTAAATAATTTGTTGAGCCTTGACTGAACTTTCATATTTAAAAATCCATGCGTATGTTGTCTCTCCAAGCTTAGTGGAAGCTCCATGAGGGCAGCGTTCCTATCCTCTGCTTCCCTGCACCCTTTACGCAACTGACCCAACTGTGGTGGGAGCAGAGACTCTTCACAACTACTTCCTGGCTGAGTGGTGGTTCTAGCTCATTTAAAGTGAGTGGATTGCCAAAAGTTTCAAAGACAATTTTTCTGTTTTGTTAATCCTCACCAGAGGATATTTTTTTCCATTGATATTTAGAGAGAGTGGATGGGACAGAGGGTAAGAGAGAGAGAAAGAGAAAGATCAATGTGAGAGAGACACGGGAAACCCTTCAGTGCGTAGGCCATTGCTCTAACCATTGAGAACACCGGCCAGTAAGACACAGCTGTCCGAGCGCCACTAGTTCCCTCAAATGTGCACTTTTCCTAGGACAACACCAGTGCTGACTCAGGACAGGTTATTTCGAGAAATATCATCTAATAACTTGAGTGGAGGAAGCTCTCTGAAAAACAAGTTGCGCTCCCCAACGCCCCCGACTTTTCAGTGGGAAACAAGTCACGCTCCTAGTCTGTCTGCAAGAAGAGCCTGCATCAGGGCGATAAGCCGAGTATTCCCTGACGGGTCCCACAGCCCTGCCACTTGAAAGATTAACTCCACATTCTGGCGCTGCCGTGATGTTTTATTCATTTGCTTATTTATTTTGGGGGGTGTAGCACACAGAGTCCTCAGCCTCGCAGAGTCCACGCTCCCTGCGCTGGCCTGTGTAAGTACAAAGCGTCCCATGCAAACCCAACCGACTCTCTGGGCGAGTCTCCCTCCCACTTACTCACTGAAAGGCTTCCAACTGGGGGTGGGGGGGGGGCAGGGAGAGGAAAGGAGCTGAGATCCCTCATGTGACTCTGAAAGCCAAAATGAGCTTTATTTTATTTTTATTGATTTCAGAGAGGAAGGGAGAGGGAGGGAGAAGCATCAATGATGAGAGAGAATCATTGGTTGGCTGCCTCCTGCACCCTCTCCCCACACTGGGGATCGAGCCTGCAACTTGGGCATGTGCCCTGACAGGGAATTGAACTGTGACCTCCTGGTTCAGAGGTTGACACTCAACCACTGAGCCATGCCAGTTGGGCAAAATGGGCTTTCCTTTAGATTCCAGAGTTACTGTCAGCTGCCACTCAACAATTGCTAGGTCACACTACTGCCAAAGTAGCTCACAACACAGGAAATAAGGCCAGGTGAGAAAAGGCTACCAATCATCGTGCAGGGTGGATCTAGCAGAGAGACTCAAAAGCTTCAAAAGACACTGATGACATCTGTGCCTCAACTCTTAGCTTATGAGGCAGCAAGAGAGACTATAGTTTGCAAAAGCGTCTCATGCCACTGTAGCCCTTAGCCTTACTTTTCGCACAAGCCCCATGACAAATCGCCAGAGTACTGTGTTACATGCAATTCCCTTGCCGGAGTGACAATGCACCCCTTTCTCTCATATTCAACAAAGCTTATTAAAAGGCATGTTAATGAGAAGGACTTATAGGGGGCTAACTCTGACTGCATTCTAACTTTTTTGAGAATTTAAGTACTTTACTAAATAATCACAGAGTACTTGGGGGATACACCTTTGTAGAAAATGGCCATAGAGGCAAGAAGCTGGAGGTCACCCTCTGATGTCATTCTTAAGGGTAACAATGACTGCCTATTTCACACACACACACCCCTCCGCCCATTTCCCAATTTCAGAGGATGCGGCCAGGGCCTTTCTTCACATTTCACGCACTTACCTTTTGCACTGACTGAAGCCTAAAATTTCCCAATCAAACAAGAGACTCTTCCATGTGGTACTTTATCCCAAAGACAACGCCAGATGGGAGGATGCGTGACTGGCCCACCTGATGAGCTCAGCAGGGCATTTGGTATGTTACTACAAAAACGTCTACAGTGTGACTCAGGGTAAGTCCAGGCACCGTTGGGTTGGCTCTTGACGTAGTTCTATTCCAGTAAGGAGAAAACCGCCAGTGGAGTCTTCAGCTCAGGATTCTGCCTCTGACAGTTGCTCTGAAAAGTGGTGTGTGCAACAGCATAACTGCCCTCCATGCTACCCTGCCTGCTCCCCTTCCTGCCCCAGGTTATCTATACCTCGACTCACTTCATTTACATTCACCTCCCACATGTGGCCCCAGGTGAAGAGACATCATCTTTCATTACAAGATATCAATAAAAAAGGAAGGGAAGCGAGAGGGAAGAGATTAGATAGCTAAGTTCCATTCAGCATTTTCTAGCTTCAGAGGATAGGAAAATCGCATATCAGAGAAGTTTTATTTCCCCTCCGACAAAATAAAGCTTTGCTGAGAACTGCACTGCAGAGCATGGGTGCTCAGGCAGGCAGGGTGGGGCTGGCAATCAAAGCCTTATGGACCCTGCAGACCTTGGCCAAGGCCTCCTGCCCATCCCCCTCTACATTAGCATGCCCGTAGGGCGCATGCCAGACACTGATTCCAGGAAAAATAGACTGAGTCAGAGTCATCACCTGAGGAACCTATCATAGCCAACATTTTGCCTGAATCTCATTTACAAGAAGAGAGAAAAAGCAATCAGATGCATGCCCGGAAAAGAAAATCTGTCCAGATACCAAAGACTTAAGTGCAAATTATTTGCAATCTCAACCAAACATTGCAAGTTGATTTTTACTTCACTTCTATGAAGGGCAACGGGAGAGCGAGTGTGAGAGAGAGATTATCAGCAGCAAGGCACCACTCTGCTCCTGCTTCTGACTCGGGGACACACTTGTCCCAGCCAAAGCCGTGACTCATCCTCTGCTGCCAGTCACAATAGGAGCTCGATTTGCTGCAGTTCCGCACACCGCGCAGCACTCCTTACAAGAAAGAGCTCTGCTCTAGCATTTCGGAAAGATTAAAGTCAGCACAGAAAATGGAAAATTACTATCACCATTTTACGCTAAAGAGAGATGACCAAAACACAATTTGAAAGCACCGAAAGCTTTAGTCCAGAAAATCAGCAAACATTTCTGCATGTGTTTGTTTTTGGTTGTTTTATTTATTTATTTATTTTTTGGTATGCAGTGAATATGATATAATAGAAATCAGGCCCAGAGAGATTATTGGGGAATCTAAGATTATTCTACATAGCCACTCAAGAGAAGTGATAGAACTGCTAGCAAGTGTATTCCAAAGATAATTGAGTCCTTTAATTTACATTCATATTTCCATTTGCTCAGCAATTATTTATTGCCTGTCCGCTATGAAAAAGACTTGAAAGGAAGCACTAGGATACCCCTAATATGAGGTAAGAAGTAGTATGTTCCACTACTACATCCAGAAGGGGATGGTTGTTTCAAGGAGGGGATTATCATTTCAAGATGAGGAAGGCTTTCTGGTACAAGGGGAAAATGAACGGATGAAGGAAGGATGAATAAAACTTGAGACATTCAGAAATCAGGGAAATCTCTTTCCGAACAATGTGCACAAAGACATGAAGGCGAGAAGCGGAGGGAGTCGGGGAGCGATGAGTAGATCCAGTGTCAGAGCAAGTTGCCGGAGCTCAGCAGGGAGTGGCACTGGATCTGTGGGAAATGTGTGCTGGCTTCAGGAGCCGCAAACGGGAGTCAAGTGAACAACTGTAACAGTCAGACCAGCCAGGGTAGCTACAGGCCTGAGAGGGGGCGCTGGAGGCCCACTCTGGGCCAGGTGTTAACTGTTAGTTGCTGGACTGTCGGGGTTGTCAAGGAAGACTTACCACAGTAGGGTGCTGGGGGAGGGAAGCATTCAGGGGGTTGGGAGATGTGAGTACAGAGTATTTCTGAATTTTAACAACCAATACAGCCATACTGGTGTATGGCAGCTGAATTTCAGTTCTGTCTATTGTTAAAACATAAAAAGTCAAAAGTTAATAAAAACTTTTGACTTTCTAGTCAACTTAGATACACATGGGGGCAAAAGTAGGTTTACATTGTTCATATGGAAAATAATACAATAAATAATAAATAATAATACAAGAATAAACTCTGTTTCGCACACTCATAATTGTAAATCT